TAATTTCTGACGTGGCGATGACATGGCGCGATGATTAGGAGAGATGTTGAGAATTTTGTCGCCACGTAGGATTTCCGTTTGTCTACATGACGGTTATTTGACGGTAGGTATTTTTTGGCCAATAATTTAAAAATATAGGATTTATTTGGAAAAAAATCAATTGTACAGATATTATTATTCAGTAATTAAAAAAATACATATATTAAATTGAGACTAGAAAAAAATACATGTATTTTACGACGATTCTCCCTTTATATTATGATATCTTCTCAAACAAAATGTCTATGAAAATAGCCCAAGAATTTCTATTCTCCACCTTTCAATAAGCAGGGCCGCGTGATGCCCACCAAAATGGATATGGATAAGGTATACCGTACATGTAAAGCATAAGAACCCCTGGCATGTACGGTCATTATCTATAATATTTAATTAATGTAGCCTTTGGGATGTAGCGGACCGAAATGTACGTCGTGTCAGCAAATAACACTCAAACACCGTGTCATTTTTCACCCACCTTTCTTTAACGGCCTCTACTCTCTAGGGTCTAACATCATGCCCGCGGTTTCCACCAGAACCACATACACAGTCATAACTCATACGTACATGTATACATTCATATATACATACATACATGCGACATAACTGGATTAGTAATTAGGCAAAAGTGTCGGAGATTAGCAATTAAGGGGATGAAACAAAGTTCAAGCTTTTCCATATATCGAAAACAAGAAGCCATTGCTCTGCACTGTTGAACTGCAGAAACAGGGCAGATCATCACGATGATGTCAGACCTCAAACACTATTAAACATAAGAAAAAAAAACTCATCTGAGATCATATCTCTGTAAAAAAACATCATATGATGCAGTACAACTGCAGAAGAAGAAGAAAAAGATTGGATTGTTAGGGTAATGACCGAAAACAGAAGGAGAAAAGATCGGATCTCTTTCTTTTTTTGGGCTTAGCCTGTGTTTTGGAGGCCGGCGGCTATACCCTTCATGGTCAAGATGAGGGTATCCTCCAGACCAGGAGCGTACTCACTTGTCGGATTGAGCTTGACCAGTTCATCGGCCGGTTTGTTCGATTCCATGAATTCCTTGTTGATGAGAGGTCGTGACTTCACGTTGTAGCTTGGATCACGGATTCGCTTCAGCGTATAGGCTTGGCACACATTGAGAGTCGTTATGTACGAGTCGCGTAGCCGAAGCCTCTGCTTCAAACAGGGGTCTCCTTCAAGAAGATCTTTGTGTCCAGCAATCTGCAGTAGCATTTTTGTAATGCGTAATTATGTATCAGAACCATAATCTTCGAAAGAATCGGTCTTTTGTTTTTATACCTGGAGGATGAGGTTTTTGGTCTCTTCATAGTTAGCTCTGAGCTTCTCTCCAAATGGCCAGAGTTCTTCCGAGACAAGAAGCTTGTCGTACAAGGCAGCGATCCCGGGATCCCCCTTGGCGAAAACCATCTCGACGAGATCGATAGTGACCCTAAAGAATGGCCAATTATTGTACATATCCTGCAGCATATGGAGGTTCCTTACATCTTTCTGGATCGCGTCTCTGAACCCCGCTCCAAAGCCTAACCAGACAGGAAGATGGAACCTTGTCTGGGTCCAGGCAAAGATCCACGGGATAGCACGGAGAGATTCGATTCCTCCGCTCGGTTTCCTCTTCGAGGGTCTACTTCCAATGTTCATACGACCATACTCCAGCTCGGGTGTAGCCTGCAAACCAATGTGGCCACCAAGTTAATGACAGATGCTTAGACAAAAAAACACTACACGGAAGCGTAAATGCTTACAAGGCGGAAGTACTCGACGAATCGAGGTTCTTTGAAAACGTAAGACCGGTACTCCTCGGTCGCAACAACTGCTATTTCATCCAGCAATGCACGCCATTCGGGCTTAGGTGCGACCGGAGGATTCATACCGTGTTCAAGTGTGGCAGCCGAGAAACGCTGTAGGGTTCTGAAACATAAGTGCTGCTCTCCGAATGATTGCTCGATGACTTCACCCTGAACCGTTACACGGAGTGAACCGTGAATGGTGTCCGGAGGCTGAGACAATATAGCGAGATGGGTCGGACCACCTCCTCTTCCGACAGTGCCACCACGGCCATGGAACATGGTGAGTTTCACTCCGTATTCCTTTGCAACTTTCACAAGTTCTTCCTGAGCTTTGTACAACTGCCAAGCAGCCGATAACCGGCCAGCGTCTTTCCCCGAATCCGAATAACCAATCATAACCTCTTGTTTACCGTTAATACGGTTCCTGTACCAGTCTATCGAAAAGAGCCTTGCCACGGCTGCAGGTGCGGCTTCTAGATCAGCAAGCTTCTCGAAGAGGGGAACGACCCTCAACGGCTGTTTTATGTGGCATTCACGCTGCAAAAGCTCGACGGCCAAGACATCGGAAGGTGCAGTCGCCATTGAGATAATGTAAGCTCCAAAGCTGTCTGCCGGTAACTCAGCTAAGACATAGAACGTGTCGAGAACATCAGCTATTTCCTCGGTTTTCGGAAGGTCGGGACTGAAAAGTGGACGCTTTCCGCTTAGCTCGGAGAGAAGCCATTCTTGGCGACGTTCTTCAGACCATTCTCTGTAGGAACCAATGTCCAAGTGGGTGGTGATAGCGTCCAAGACATCAGTGTGGCGGTCTGATTCCTGCCTGATGTCAAGCCTGACAAGGGAAAGCCCGAAAGTGGAGACTTGTCTCAAGAAATCGAGAAGGCTTCCGTCAGCTATCGGGCGGTCACCACATAAGCAAAGTGACCGATAGCAGAGCTCAAGAGGTTCCAAGAACTGAAAAGCAAACAGAAACGCAAATAAGTAACATACAAAATCTGGCAACAAGACAGAAAGAGACATAAGACAGAAACATGGTAAGGAACAAAACGGAGAGGTCGATACCTGTTCTACGTTACTGAAAGTCGCTTCCTCGGGAATGTCGGAGATTCCATTGCTCAGCAACTGACGGGCACGTTCCCGTGTGTGATACAGTTTGTCTCTGACGTCGCCAAGAACCACACGATATGGCTCGCTCGGATGAATCGTCTTCCAAAATTCTGCCAACAGGACAAGGAATCGAACACAGTCATCAGATTACACAGATGGAGCTAAAAATCGTGTTTTGCAGCACAAAACATTTTGAGAGACAAAATAGTGTAAGTAGCCTCTGTCCAAATCGGTCAAGACATATTATTACCTATGTAGTGTTTTGCTACACCTTTCCTTGAGTTCCTGTGAAGCTCGTCAGCACGAACACGAAGCTCTTCGCTACAACGCCACATGGACAACTACCGAGAAAAAACGAGCCATATAAGGTTTCAGACAAAGAAAACTTTAACTGAAGCAAGTCATGCCATTGTCAAGACATGATGTATCAAACCTCAAACATCAGATCCTCAATTTGGTTAAAGTACATGTTGGCAGCCATCATTCTAGCCAACAAGCACACATCTCGGGTGACCTCTGGTGTAACCCTGGGGTTACCTACAATTCATATGATCGGAAACTCGATGAAATAGGGTATACATAGAGTGTATAAAGGATCGTTATGTAAAGCCGGAGATGCAAGCAAAACAATCATGATACCGTCACGATCACCCCCCATCCAAGAAGAGAACTGAATCAGCGGAGCATTGTAAGGGAGACGCTCGTTAATCCCGATGTTTTTCAGAGCTGTGTCCACACGGCGTAGAAACTTGGGGACACCCTTCCAGATCGTCTCGTGGAAATAACTCATTCCGGCTCTCATCTCGTCTTGCGGGGCTGGAGGTGTTCTTCTGATCTCGTCGGTCCGGAATCCAGCTTGAATCTATACGGTAAAAGGCCGATCCTTTCTTCATTTCCCGATAAATATATATATAACCTTACAAATCAAAATCGAGAAGGGACATACTTCTCTTTGCAGAGCTTCATCAAGCTCTTGCTTGTCATCAGGGGTAATGTCCTTTGCATATAACTGAGCCAGACAATTCCTTATCCTGAAAAAAGGGCGGAAACCTATGTAAGAAAACATTTTAAGACAAGAACACAAAGTGGAGAGAATTCAGTTCTGACCTCCCATGTTTCTGGAGCAAAGATCTTCGGATAGATTGAGTAGGATGAGCCGTGAAAACAAGATCCACTGTCTGATTCTTGAGGGCCTCAAAGACCTCTTCGGGGGACTTTTTCAGGTCCACCACGAGTCTCTTGAACGTTTCCTCGATGTCCGACTCGGTGGTGGCTGAGTTCTCGTCCGCGAAACCGCGTTTCGTCAGCTTCTTGATCTTGCGGAGGTAGGCGATCTGCACCTTCTCGGCCAAGTTGGCAAGGTTAAGCATGTGGGAGAAAGCCTTGGAAATGACAATGGCGTCCCCTGGATCCAAATTCGTCAGGACATTCCCGAGCTCCTCGAGCTTTTTCGGGTCATGCTTCCTTTCGTACTCTGCCGAAAGCTCGTACAGCTCCTGAACCTGCATATATAAACCATACGATTTGATTCATCAACAGAAGAAATCCTTTTACATATAGAATCACAATATTTAACCCTCTGGTAGATGATTGAAACAAGTAATGGCCCGACAGGGGAAGTTTCCGACCAAAGACAGGAGAAATGGGCATCAATGAAATCAGATTTAAAAAGAGAGAAATCGGACCGTTTCTCTGAGATCCTCGCCGTGCAAGTCCTGGAGAATGTCGAGGAAACGATCGAGAAGCAAAGCATCATACTCCACAAGCTTGTCGTCCTCGCTAACTTTGACAGGAACCAGCTGACGAAGCTGCGCGTCAATGGACGCCATCTTCTCTAATTTCCTAGCCGCCATTGTCGCCGACCACTCGACCTTCTCTTCGTTTTTCTCTGCGATCATTCACAAACAAACAAACAAACAAACAAACAAAAACGACAGAACCAACGTTAACAGAAAGGGGGAAAATGAAGCAAGATCCGTTAACTTCTGACAACAAATTTCGGCAACAAAACCGGGAATTTGATGTGCTAAGAGCCATGAAAATTTGAAAAGCGGAAAACAATTAACACAAACCAAATCGGGCAATAGAAAAAAAAACGAAAAAAATTCAACAGATTGAGACAGACCCAGATGACAAAATCAGCGGTTAATGCGGAATCCGAAAATGGGTAAGAAAACGGAAATGATTCAGAAGGAAACCCTGTGCTGTTCGGAATCCAGATTCAGAGGTGAAGACAAAATGAAATTAGTTAAACTACGAGTGTTGTTAAAGACCCTTTTGTTTTCCTGGGAATTTTTTTTTTTTAAAAAAAAAGGGAAAAATGGAAAATCGACGGTTGAGGAAAACTCCAAATTAGTTAGTAAAAAATCACCGTTGATTAGGAAAAGTAATTACTCGAATTACCTTAATTAGGCGCCTAAACATATAATATAACCGATAAATTCACTTTACTATTTGTCTTTGGGTGTTTTAAAACGTTAAAGAGCTCTCCAAGATGTGACGTGGCATTATGGAATATTCTAATCTTTTTGCAAGTCAACGAGAGTTAGGGAATCTTTACGAACATTTCGTGGAATATGGAGGTGAATATACAGTCCAATTTCGGGTCTTCATAAATAGAGAAATTACACTTGGGGTTATATATACATATATATAATATGTCCATATTATATATAGAGAGAGACTTTTGGTCAATGATCGTATATATATTAATTAAAGTGTGACTAGTGTGTGACACCGCTTTTGGATTATTCGACCGGTTTCGGATGCTAACACTAAGTTTTATTACTATTTAAAAAATTATTATCTAAATCCAAAATTTATCTAAATTATTATGAATATACAAATATTTTATTTTTTGTATTTATAAACACCGAAAACTGAAGAAGGAAAAAATTTAAAATACTATATCCCAAGATACAGTGGAAGATAAATATATGCTTAAATTTTAATATAGAGACAACATTACCTTTTTTCACATTAAAAGTTCTTATAGATTCAATAATTTCTTCACTCAATTGTTATTATTTTTTTTTTCAAAAAAGAGAATGCGTTGAAAAATAGAATTTAGGATAATTATTTTAAAATTAAAATCTAAACTCTAATATATAAAGGTACAATAACTTCGTTTTTTTTTTTTAAATTTCATAGATTCGATGATAGTTTTATTCGAAAAACCTCAGATTTGGAAAGAAATTCCTCAAAAAAAATAAAAAACCTTCCTCAAATTTCACAACGCTTTCCACCTAATTGAAATTTTGTTTCCGAATCGAAACATTGTCTTTATTGACAAATTTCATTGTTTCATTACAATAAAAGCACATCCAATGAACAACACTGACCCGGCAATAGAATAAATCACTCACTCGAGACTTTCAGCTACTGTAATGATTCCACCATCTCCATTCAACGTGATTCCTCCATTGTTACAGAGATTCTTAGTTCCCTCAAGCTGGGAAGGGCAAGCTTAAAGACCCGAACCGGGTTTCGAGTCTCGGCTTGCATAAAGTTTCGACCTTGTCATAGATGATGGTGTAGTTTGAGCTACTGACATTCCTGAAGTAACACTGATCACTTCCCATGTATCTGTATACTTGTCGTGTTCTTCCATGTCCACTGACCACCAGGTTGTCTTTCACAACCATAACTCCCCGTCCGTCTTGCTTGTTGTTCAGATAGCTCTTGAACGGTTTCAACCCATTGGCACGTTCCGATCTCCTCTCTCGGAATGCCATTGTGACGTTCGAGATGGAGAGAGATGTGCCGTTTCCTTGGTCCAAGTAGTCTGAGTACAAGAAGAACGGAAAGCTTTTGAGTGATCTCGCCTTGAAAATCTTCCTCGGGTGTTCTCCTGCACGGACACGGTCATCTGCCATGATAACCTGATCTACAATCTGCAAGTTCCCGTCTTTACCGGCGACCATGTTGTTAACATATCCGAATTCTTGGATGACGGTAGTCGTGATGTCCCCATGTGAGGATTTGATCCGCCCTGCTGAAGTTAACGACCTGTTGGCTACTGTCTTGAACCTCCCGTTCAAGCCCTTGAAATCTGAAAGAGCAATAGTGGCGAGAGAGCTGATTTCGAGCTTCAGCAGCTCCCCTTCGACTCTCTGCCGCTCACTATCCAACCAAAGATGCAAATTCGCGTCAATGTACCATACGTTCAGAGCATTCGTGACACTGAATCCAAACTTATGAGGCTTTCCATCCAGCAAGCTTCCCAAGAATGGTGTGATCTCAATGTCATAAGTCGGCAAATCGAAGGAGCCAATGGCAGTGATGGGTCTCCAAAGAAGAGGATTGATCCCTCCGGTGAAAACAACGGGAAATGGCCAGACGGCACCGGCAATGTCGCCGTCGAGACTGATCACAACTTCCCTAAAGGGCCCATTGCCAGGAGCACTGAGATTGTTGGCCTCGATATAGTCATCAGGGAAATTCCCGTACCAGAACTCATCATTCTCATGGAAAGAAACATAAACCTCAAGAACAGCTCTATACACATTCCTGGGGATCTCGAATTCCTTATGCTCTATGTGAGTTGAATTCATAACTTCGAACCACAACCCATCATTCAGAGGCAGGTTTCGCGAAATGGGCAGGATCAAATCGGCGTGAGAACCGTAACCAGACACCGGATTTTGAAGATTTGTTCGGACACCCTCTTCGACGGGATAAAAATGGAAGATCACATCGACGTGATAAACACCCGTATACGTTTTATCCACGAGATTACCCATATAAACGGCGAGAATCTGGGTCTCGTCCTTGACGAGCAAAGAGTGATACCTGGTGACATCCTTCTCCACCGACCAGATGATCCCGGTGGCTCTAGGTTCGGCGGTACAGCTCCGGAGAATCTCAATGCCGTTTACCCAGATGCCGAAAATCCGATCGAACTGTCTTCCCTGGCAAGTGGCTCTGAATTCGAGGACGATTTTGGAGAAATCGCGAAATGGGCAGTGCGAAGGAGGAGTGTAATTGGCGAGAACCGGCGGTTTTCCATAAGTGTAGCCGAAATCATGGCGGAGAACGTGGTGGGAACATGGCGGCTGCGTCGCCGGAAGATGGGAGATGGGTTTGGCGACTTCGAAGTAGACGGTGGGAGAGGAGACGTTTAGGGTTTCGGAAGCGAAGAGAGGAGAGAAACGAGAAGGCCTGAAAGGCGATCTGGTTTTCTGGAGATTGGCGAATGCAGTCAAGGAACGGAGGAGGAAGAAGAGGGTGAAGCAGAAGAGTGGAGAGAGAAAGGAAGCCATGGCTGTGATCGTGCTGAGCTGCCAGTCTCCGTTTTATACTGAAAAGGATGTTAATTTTTAATTAGAAAATATCTAAAAATAACATCGAATCCATAAAAATGTGGAAACGAAAATCGAATGTGCAAACTTCCTAATATCACCAAAAACATGAATTTTGTAAATTTGTTTCCAAATTAATTTTTTTTTTATCAAGTTTTGATTCAGATTTCGTGATACACCACCATAATATTATGATTATGAAAACCAAACAATCTGATTCGGTTCCATGTTAATACCATATCATTATCTCATGCCACGTAGACTATCCGATGTGATTGAAATTCAATTAACACGGCCAAATGATTGATTTAGAAATGAATTTTAAAAAATCCAATATTTTAAATGAAAAATAAAGATGCATTTACAAGTTTTTTTTATATAAAAAAAATCCAGTGTTTTTTTAAGTTCAATGCTCTCTATAGGTTTTTCTAAAAGTTTGAAAGGTTGCATTTTAATAATTCATTTGTCTTCTCACCAACTAAAAATGCTTCTATTAAAGTATCAACCACTGAGTTTGGTAGTCTTTGAAGCATTATATATATACACACACAAACACACACATATACATATATATATATATATATATATATACATGTGTGTATATATAGAGTAAAAGAAACTTTTTTTTAAGGTAGAGTAAAAGAAACTTGTCCCGCTAATCATATGACAGAGAATCCGTATATTAATTTGAGATTTAATAATAAATATACAGAGGAAAAAGCAAATATATAGATATTGATGAAGATTATAACGATACATTTCAACATGTTTTCTTCTTCTTTGTTACACTTTTTACAATTCTTGCAAATCAAGCGCTTTCTTCCGCACAAACTCACTTTTTGTTGTTACACGTGACTGGATGCTTATACATACATATA